AGCCGAGCACGGTGACATGGTCAGTCAGCTAGTACCCCATCAATTAAATATGCCTTGGATCCTGGGTCAACCCGTCTCTTCATGGAATGGGCTCATGTGTCATGGGTCTGCTGAAGAGCTTTGAATCCCATGCAGCGTGGATCAGCCCAACCTGGTCCCATCCAGTTGACACTATACGGCCGAGTTTCGTCTTCACTCAGGTTTTATTTGCCAAGTTGCTCAAACATTACCTCGGCTTTTCTTTGCCGGTCATGGTCCAGTATTCGGTCATGCAGTTTACTGGGTCCATGACTTCCCAAGAAGCCGAGCACGGTGACGTTCACAAGGCAGTGAGATATATTATGCACACCCCCGGTTCAAAATCCCTACCAAGTTTATACCGACCAATGTTTCTTGTAAACATACCCATGTTGGAACGGGTCTGGCTCAAACAACCGCACTCGGCTGCCTGAAATAAACGCCAAGCTGTTACTATGCCAGTCTCCATTGGACAAAGTTGCTCCAAGATCCCCCTGCTTTTCTCTGCCGGTCACAGTTTACTGGGTCGTGAAAGAAGCCGAGGCCTTACTGCTTTCATTATTATGTCCACCACAGGACTTCATATTAAATATGCCCAAAAAAAAATTGAAGATTGTCCAAAAAATATACATGTATGCTACTAACTATTAAGTAGACGGAGTTTGGACAGTTTGGACATCATTGTTTGTAACTTGCTGGCAGTCAGATTTTTGAATCCTCACCAAGTAGAAGACTTACTCTGTGCGGGGGTTTGAAGTGTGGGTTCGAGTTTCTGTAGCCGAGGTGACTTCCTATTACCCCCAATGTAAGGACCGGGCGAACTTGCCCGGGTTGGAGGAATTGGGTTTGGCACCAACAGAAGGACCGCTGGGCTCTCAGATGCTGGAGGCAGAAAGACGGCCAGGGTTGGAGAGACTTGCGCGTGATCGGTTGAAACTGGGTTTGGCAGAACGACACCCAGGGTCGGGGAGACTTGTACCTGCTGGCTTTTCTGACCGCGGTCGGGTGAGACTGAGTGATCGGTATTGATGCCAGTGTGCTTCTTCTCCTTGTTGCCAAGGAACTGGATAATGAGCGATTCCAGACTTGATTGGTTGAGCTCCGAAATAGTAGTGACTGATTTGGTGAGGTCGTGGAGCATTAGCTCGGCAGTTTCGATGCGGCTTGCAAGTTTCTCAAAGCCCTGGGTGAGACTCTCTTGTAACGCAGCTGGTGTAGTCTCCCACTTGTTCTCCAGTGTCTTGACGGCTTCCCTCACCTCGGCTTCCAGTCTCTGGTGATCACTTCAGATGGACTGCAAATCTTCTTGTGTTTCCTTCCAATGCATGTGGGCAGACTCTTCAATACGGTCCATCCGGCGAGTCGCTCCAGTGATTTTTTCTTCCTGAAACCAAACGGAGGTCTCTAGACTTGCAATTTTCTCCGACAGAGGACGGCTAGCCAAATCTTGATCTTGAATACACCGGGTAATCTCTTCGAGCGCCAAAAGACGTTGTGACAGGGTCACGGGTGAGTCAACCGCCGGGGGGAGAAGGGCACTTGCGTCAATATCTTGTTTTTGGACCACAAATGCCAAATACTCTCGCATAGTAGGGGTAGACGACTCCATGACGCTGACTTGCGCTTGTTGGTCTCGGAGTTTCTGCTGGAGGTCGGCTTGGCCATGAGCAAGTCTTCTGATCTCCTGCTGCATCGTCTGCATGTCGA